ATGCTAGTTATTTATTTATTTCAATATAATTCCTTCTTCTTGCATAATTGGCCTTAATATCAAGTATCACTTTCATACCTTCATGGCTTCTCCTCATGACATCAAAGTATACTATCCCAAATGATATTCATGGTTGGTACAACCATCATACACACATATTCATAACATCTAAACATACACAATTTATTCATAAATTTGTGTATCATGCATACTATAATTTTAACCAATAGTAGTTCTATTTATGCATTATTAACCATCAACAATTCATGCACATCACATTTATATTCACTTAGGAAATCCCATGAAATTAACCCAAAGATTATAAGTATCATAGTTGGTCATCCTCACCTTAATTAAGCTTAAGCGCGTTCTACGTTTCTTGATTGAACTTTGACCAACTCCGGCGACTTTGACCAACTCCGGCGAACTTTGACCAGCTCCGACGAAACTCCGGAGAGGCTCAAAAACACTTTAAATCAAGTTCCTAACAAGGTTTTATCATCACAAAACCCATATCAACACAAATAACCTATAAAAGGTTATTTTCCGGCAAACCGGTCGATTTGGCTTCTAAGTCCGTTTTTGGACTTAGAATCACTTTCCAACCCATTATTCCACACTTAAATCATGTAGAACAATAATAAAAGTCTTTCATATGATATATATCTTATATGCTAGAAGAAAAACAAAGAAAAAGCTATGATAAGGTCATTACCTTAATTTTCACACTTTTTCCTAGCTTTTTCCTTCTTAAACTTTCTTCTTGGACTCCCTTGAGCTTGAGTTCGGATTTGGGGCTATGGAGATGAAGTTGCAGAGGTTCTTTCCTCCTTTCCCTTGCTGCTGGCCGAACTAATGAGGAGGGGATGGGTAGGAATGCCCCTTTTGTCTCCTTTTGGGCAATGAGTGAAAGGGAGGGGGTCTACAACATGTCAAAGGTGTCTCCCCCATCCTCTCAATTGTTGTTCAGCCAATTTGGCACTCATCCAGACCTCAAGGGTTGACAATTTCTTGGGGTGGCCCCCACCCATGTGGGAGGTCATCCTAATTTGTCCCAAAGTGTGCAATTTGCCCCGAAAGTTGTATTTTCCGGACTGTTTTAAGTATATTTTATTTTATCGGTTCAAATAAAATATAACACTTGTTCCCAATTCTTAATGGACCTTAGAATCAATATGCATCCCTCACTTTAATTTAGAAGTCTCCGAAATCTCTTTTCGGGCTGTTATCTGATAGGTTGCCGATACTGATAATTTGGCCCCGTTTGACCAACCGGTCAACCCTATGCCATTGTCATGGCTCAATTAGGGTATCCACCACCATATACATATTATCTAGTCCAAGATCAATATAATATGTGGCCCCGATAATATAGGGCGGTCCCCACTCCCGATGTGGGCCCCACGTGCATTTTACTATTCACGCGAAAAAAAATTAATACAAATTCACAACTTCGTAAGTTCACTAAATATTTCATAGGTTTCAATAAATTATTATCTTAAAGATAAATACATTTGGGGACGGTGTTACACTCCAAGGCGCCGAGCTCAGATACCCGGCCCTGGAGAAAGTAGCCCTCGCCGTCTATATAGCAGCCAAGAAGTTGGCCCACTATTTTCAGGCCCATCCTATCATGGTACTATCAGACCCTGGGGTAGGGACAATGTTCCGAACGGCCAAGACTGCACGAGTCGTGAAGTGGTCCCTGCTGATCAGCCAATACCAGGTGAATTTCCAACCCAGGACCGCAATAAAAGGTCAGGCACTTGCAGACTTCCTGGTAGAATGCACAGCCAGAGACGTGGCTGAGGACAGGCGCCGGGAGGAAGAAGATTGGTGGACCTTGATGACTGATGGATCATCCTCAGGATCCAAAGGTTGCGGGGGAGGGGTGGTCCTCATCACCCCCGAAGGTTTCAAATCTTACCATGCCTTAAGATATTCATTCACTTTGTCTAATAATGAGGCCGAATATGAGGCCCTACTATCCGGACTCAGAATCGCAAGGCATTTCAAGGCTCAAAAACTGAAGGTCAAAAGTGACTCTAAGTTGGTCATAAAACAACTTAGGGGAGAATACGAGGCCAAGGAGACTCGCATGCGGAAGTACAGAGATGCAGCCTTGGAAATCATAAAAGAGATCAAGGAGTCCGAGCTACTTTGCGTCCCACGAGCCCAGAATGTGGAGGCAGATATTCTGTCAAAATTGACGACGGATGCCCCTGAACACCTTACTCACATTGCTCAGGTACATGAATTAAGCGAACCAAGCATTGAGGGAACTAAAGACCTGGAGGTCCTTCCAGTCAGCCAGTCTCCGAGATGTTGGATAGACGACCTGACGGAATATCTCGAGGTCGGGATGCTCCCACCAGAGGAAGATAAGGCGAGAACGATCAGGAGGCGGGCTCCTAATTATGTCATCCAGGATGGCAAACTCTATAAGAAAAGCTATAATGGGGTGCTGTTGAAGTGTTTGAGGCCGGACCAAGCTCGGCAAATGATAAAGGAACTACATGAGGGGATTTGTTCGTCACACCAAGGGGCGTTCACCCTAGCAGAAAGGCAATTCTGCAGGGGTACTTTTGGCCGACCATGGTGAGAGATTGTGCGGACTTTGCGCGAAAATGTGAGGTCTGCTAGAAATTCCAGACGAATCCAGGAAGGCCAACCACCCTGTATATTCCGATCAGCATGACAATTCCCTTCTCCAGGTGGGGAATAGACCTGGTGGGCCCCCTTCCGCAGGGCTCAGGAGGTCGGAAGTTCATGATAGTAGTATTTGATTATTTCACTAAATGGGTCGAGGCCGAGCCAATGGCCACGATCACTGCAGAACAATGCAAAAAGTTTGTCTGGAGGAACATCTTCTGCCGGTTTGGCGTTCCCATGCAAATTATCACCGACAACGGGAAGCAATTTGATTCTGAGCCTTTCAAATAATTTTGTGAGCAATGGGGAGTCGAAGCCAGCCGAGCGTCTGTTGCCTACCCTCAATGCAACGGTCAAGTAGAGAATGTGAACAGAACAATTGTTACCGGCTTGAAGAAGAAACTAGAATCCAAGGGAACGACTTGGGTGAATGAGCTGAATAATGTCCTTTGGGCATATCGAACAACCCAAAGGAAAGCAACCGAAGAAATTCCGTTCGCACTAACCTATGGGTTCGAGGCCAGGGCTCCTTCAGAAGCCCTGATCCCGAGCAAAAGGGTGGAGGAATACGATCCTAACGACAACGAAAAATGCTAAGAGCCGAGCTCCACTTAATTGAGGAAAAAGGGATAGGACCTTCATCAAAGCTGAGAACTATAGAAGACAAGTGAAGGCGTACCACGACGCAAGGGCCAAACCGAGACGATTTTATATAGGCGACCTGGTTTTGAGAAGAAGATCGGCTAGCAGGCCCCAAGAGGGCGGCAAGTTTGCAAAAAACTGGGAAGGGCCCTATAGAATCAAAGGGATAATCGGGCCCGGAACCTACAAGTTGTGCACTCCTAAAGGATAATTGGTGGACAGGGTCTGGAACTCCGAACACTTAATGTAATTCTCTTTTCTTTCTCCAATTCTCAATAAAGTTACAGTTTTATTTATCGAGTCCTTTATGAGTTGTGAAGGTCCTCAGACCAGCCAAAAAAAAAACAGGGCTAAATTATGCCTAATTGGTACTCGCAAATAAGACAAGGCACGAATTCCGAACTCATCTAATTCCAAAAGCTCAGATCAAGTCTTTCTAAAGACAAGAGCAGGAATAAGACGACCTTTTTCAAGGTTAGACAGCCGTATGCATATACAAAATCAGATTTCCTAAAAACAGGAAAGGATAGCCCCTCGCAGGGCTAAAAGATGAAACCCATGGAATTAACCTTGCACCAGAGAAGCCAACGTGCTTCACCAATCAAGAGGCTAATCACTAGGGTCTGAGTAACCTAGGATGAGGCCCACCTAATGTGGCTCGAAATTCCAGAGCCTCTAGGTCCAGGATTGGTAAAGTCCATCCTTACTTCAGGGTGTCTGGGGTTGGGGGGTTGGGGGGAGCCTGGACTAATCAGGGCTGAAACTCACTCCATTGAGTTTCAAACCCATATGTGTCTAATGGGTTTCGAACTCGAGACCTCACACTAGACACGGTAACCTCACAATCAGAGGAGCTAGAATGCTTGATTGAATAGTACAATAAAGTAAGGTTCTTTACTCTTTCTACCACACTTTCTTAATCTTTGTGCCCAAAATAAACAAGACCCTCATTTTGGGATGGAAGGAGTAAATAAAATACTTCCTCCGGTCCTAAATAAACTTCACTCACGGTTTACGATGCTTGACTGACGATAAAGCAACTCAATCCATGTTCACACTCGGATTACTTTTAGTAAATAAAATTTACATATTCAGAAACTACATTAAAACCGCTACAAAAGCTGATCAAAAAAATTTAAATTTGATAAAAATTTGACATATAAAGTAAAAGATTAGAAGTGATTTAAGTTGACTAATGAATAGTGAGTGTGAAGTTTATTTAGGACCGGAGGTAGTAGTATAATAGCCAATGAGGGTTAGAACATTTTTTTAGGAATAAAAAAAATGTTAGAATACGTTTGGTAGGATGTAAAATAATTACTTTGCATGCGAAGTGGAGGGATGTAAAATGGTTACACTGTTTGGTTTAATTATTCAATGTAAACTGTATGACACTTTTTAAAAACATTACACACGGTACCATATAAAGTATTATACGTGGGAGGAAGTTAGTAAAATACTTTGCATGCTTTTTATAAAGCAATACAATGTCTTTGTGTGCAAATTAAAAATAAATTACTGCATCTAGCCATAATGTAATTTATTTTACATGTAAAGTGATTGTTTCCATACACTTTACATGCAATCGCGTGAAAAGATTTAACGCGCAAACTACCAAACGGGCCTTTACCGTAATTATCTAACTTAGTGAGGTTGTACCCAATGTTTTACAACATGTACTCTATCTAAGGAAAACTTATTTTCCGTTTAATTTCCGTCTGATCGCTTCCATCTGCTTTTGTCATCGTCAAATTGAACAAGCCGCCCGTTTTCTTCACCGGCTCCGAACGATCACGCTGGTGGCCCATCCGCGCCTTAACCCTCCTTCGGATCTACTCCCATCGTTTCCCTGTTGTCGCGTCAGCCGTCCAGGTATGTTTCGATTCCTTTTCTCCGTTTCTTGTTAGACTCTGTTAATCCCCTTCTTTGTCCAGGTGTTGGTGAATGAACTATACGGAGTATGATTTAGTGTAAAAGACCAAAATTGAATGATACGTAGTTTGATCAAGTGTGGGAACTGAGTTGAAACTTGAAACAGAGTTAACAAATACTCCGTAGCATGTAGATGTAGCTGGAATTCAGATAAATTATCTAGAATGGGACTATTTCTTCTGAAGCACCCCCTCTTCATTTTTGGATATACACAGTGTGTTCATATTTGCCCAGGGTAGTTATCCCTTCCAGTCTCATTTCCCCAAAAGAATAAACATTTATATCTATTGTAATAGAAAAAACCCCTTTTCCATCACCAATTTAATACCCAACACCGGTAATTTCTCATCTCCTTACCTGCATTAGCAGGTAAAAAAGGATCTGATTGCTTGATTTTCAACGAGTTGGGGTGTATCGGTATTTCTTTCGGTTCAGAAGTCTGATTGCAGAATCGCAAATAGTTCACATAAAATCAATTTCAACTTTACCAAACCAAACGGGTACTAAAAAACCAGTTCATCCGATCTTCATCTCTCATCTCAGCCAGACGGTCGTACGCACTACGCTATACTGTTTTCTCCGTTTCATCTCTTCCCCTGAGGTCAGACGCTGTCCACATCACGCCGTTTGTCTAATGCCTTGAGGTTAGTCGATTATTTATATATAGAGATATATGGATTGTTTTTCATGTGTTAAGTTTAGCCAATTAGCCATTTTGGTGTTCTTTAAAGACATGGAATGAGATACGGTGAAATAATTTAGTTTTTTTAGGGTGAAATAATTTAGTTGAAAGCTTGAATGACACATTGAGACGTTGACACAGTTCTATAACTAAACTTTCTACGAAACCAAAGAAAACACCAATTTTTATTACTATTTTCTCTGTACTTCCATGATGTCTTTGGCTGTTAGCAATTGCAGTGTTCTCCAGTAGGTTTCAAATCTGCAATCCAGCAATCCTACATTCTAAGTACTAACAACTTAAAGCTCAAAGCCTAAAACTTTTTTTTTAAACGGAAATGCTCGTTAAACTATTTTTGCTCAAAGGCTCAAAGCCAAAGACTCACTATTTTTGGTTTGGGAATATGATAGAATAAAACGAAATGACTCACTAAACTATCTGCGCTTCTTTGCTTCTTTGTATGAAGCAACAATCAGTCCATGCAGTTTTCAATTTTCGACACGATTTTCACTATGGGTCATTCAGAAACAGTCTCTCTGTGCTTTAGTACACTAAAGGTGTAAGACTGCGTACATCCGACCCCCCTTACCCCACCGTAGGTGGGAGCCTTTGCGGCATTGGGTAATGATGATGATGATGGAAATGCTCGTTAATATTTATCATGATTCGCCCACTTATATGTAACCAAATTTTTAGCATAAATGCCTGTAGACTCTCATCTAAATATTTTATTAGTCTCGTATAGTTGAATTCAGTACAAGAATATTTTGATTATTAGTTGATTTCTCACTTGGATATGTGGACTTGTGTTAATAATGTTATATCCTATGGAGCACTGGAACTTGTTAAACTTTGGGACTTGAAAGTGGGCTAATGTTATTTTTTGGAACCTGACAGTGGACTTCGACTATGCTGCTTTTTTTTTGGAACATAGATATATGATTTGTGTATATGTGTTATTATTTTGAATAGTGTTAGTTGCTTTGTTATTGTTATTTTTACCAATAAATTATTCAAGATTAATGTAAAAAATGTATTTTAAAATCAATTCATCAGAAAAGAAACTGAAAAATCTGTACCGTAGTGACTAGTGACTCATTTCAAACAGGTCGGGTAAGGTCCGGTTCCTATTGTTGGAATCGCTCTACCCGGACCGTGTCGGACCAACCCGTTTAATGGAATTGGCAGTTCTTAAAAAATTATACATTACCTGCTCCTACCCAGCTTATGCCCACCTCTAGATCCACCACTTGCCTATAAAGTAATTGCTAAATAGTATTCTTCATCTATACCTTTGAATTCACATTGATAAAGTTTATTGTTTAAATTAGTAGCTTAATCAAGAACATTAGATTAAAGTCATTAGACTGGCTTCCATGGGGTACAAGAACGAATATTTATAGATATAATTGATCAAATTCTACATCATTGCTTATAAAATTGGGTTAATAAAATTGTATATGCTTTGAACCCTTGAGAAGATATCCTAGACACAAACTGCCACACACGATTTGTATTTTCAGAACTTCTGTGGCATGTGCTCTGTTTTATGTTCAAACAACCATAATAATGGCTAGAAACTTAATTGTGTTAAATTTAACTATGTTTGAATGTGAATAACAAAATCCCCTTGACTTAATTGTTGTTATTTTCTGCTCTTCTGCCACCACAAAACTGCAAATTCAAAATAGTACTACGTACAATTTTGCTTACCTCAAGTCCTTAAGTAAAGATGAACGACTGATTAATCATCACTTGCATTAGTATCAAGTACATTTGAGATTGTATTTTTGCTTTAATAAAGATAAGTAAACGTCAATGATGAATGTTTTATTTTCATACAGTTGGCTTAATGATAGTAAAGTAAGTAGCTGCCTACTCATCCTTACAAAGAGTTCTTTCAATCACTTTATATCACCTGCATTTCGTATCTCCAATAATATCTGCTGTTTGGAAATATCTTTGTTTTACACAGAGTGCTAAAAAGCCCAAGTTATTGAGAACACGTACAGCGTACCTAAAGCATAGTGCAGGATTTTTATTAACGTTTCTATTTTCTAAGGCTTGTAGGTCGGAATTTGCCTGAAATCAAACCCTCCACTGGAACTATTGAAGTACTGATGACAAATTAAAATGCGAGTTGAATTTTTCCTTTTAAACTTATTTGATTAACAATAACTTGCTTTGTCATTGATTATTTGAATTGCTGCATCACTATCATAAATCATAATTATAATGACATTAAGTTTCTTCTAGCATTATAAAAACAATGAGTTATAGAATCAGAATTCTTTTCTGACCTATTTTTTTAATATGCAGGCATTCGTCTAATAGGCTCTAACAATTTCAAGCACTTGACATCAGCAACAGCAGGAATTCTGGGTGTTATGAGAGTGAAGATAGCCTCCTATTTATATTTTATATATATGCTGTAGGAAGGTAGAGTACATATATTCATTGGCATTACATGCTTTGTGAATCATATATATCAGTAAAGGTTTGCTTTTATTTCATCCTTTTACAATATCACTGTCTTTGTTGAAGACACTGATTCTTTTCTGGAAAATTAAAATCAACGAACAAGAGCATGCCTAGATGCTAGCGGAATGATTCACACCTTGCAACCAACTCGGGACCTCGAGTCTAATTGGTCAGTCGATATTGTAACAAGCCTAGAAGCTTATTTACTAGAGATTTGTTCTGGCAAAGTTTCTGGTCGAGATGGTGCCCACCAAAATCCTGTAAACTTCTCTAAAGGTTCTTATATTTTTTTACCCAACACCATTTTATCCAGAAATCTTTTAAGCTCTGTTATAGGTTTTGGTACCTCTTTTTATGTAGCTGCATTGCTGCTTCAAGATTCTGCCCAGGTATATAGTAGGAAGGTAGAGTACCTGTATTCATTGGTATTACGTGCTTTGGAGTCCATTTCTCAGAAGAGGTTTGCTTTTATTTCATCCTTTTACATAGCACAGTCTTTGTTGAACTGTTTCATTTTGGGAGTACAATTTTATTTAAAAAATTGGTATTCTTTGTATCTAATTGCGCTATAACTGTCTTACAATGAGCCCACCAGTTCAGTTTATATTTCATTATTCACTTGGAAAAAAGATTTCAATTTTTGTGATCAAGGTGGTTGTTAATCTATTCAATTTCTAGTGTGCCATCTTTGCTATCTTGTTTGTGTTGTATTTATGAAATGAATTATTGATTCTATATTGTGCAACTATGAAATGTCATTCTACTTCATATGACTCAATATAACAATGATTATGTATTGATATTTGCACATTGGTGTTGCAATAAGTACTGTTGCACAATCAAGTTTGCCTGATAATATATCTACACAAGATGGTCTATTTGTAGGAGAAGGGACTTATATCTGGTCTGCTATATAGGAACTTTTGTGGCCTAAAGGAATAATAAATGATTTAGATTATGTAATCAAAATGTTTTTCAGTTTTTTTTAAATCCCTAACGATTATGTATTGATATTTGCACATTGGTTTTGCAATAAGTACTGTTGGACAATCAAGTTTGCCTGATAATATATCTACACAAGACGGTCTATTTGTAGGAGAATGGACTTATATCTGGTCTGCTATATAGGAACTTTTGTGGCCTAAAGGAATAATAAAGGATTTAGATTATGTAATCAAAACGTTTTTCATTTTTTTTTTAAATCCCTGACTACCATTACTAAACTGCTGCTTGGACTTTGGAGATACAAGATGCAGATATGGAAAACCAATCATAACATAGCAGAGTCTTCTAAATGGTGTAGTCATATAATAAATTTACACACTTGTAGCTGTATGCTCACTTTCTGCACTAAAGAGCTTTGGAGAACTGCAGTCATGAAGTTTTCTTTAAGAAATCCTAATACTGTCACATTACTTCATAGTGTATTGTCTATCGACTTTTATTGTTTTAAGAATAACTGTGTGCATGATTAGTGAGAAACAAAACACGGTGAATGGATCAGCCGGAACAGAAGCAAGTGGTTCAAATGATGCTCCTGATGACCCTTTTTGGGGATTAGATGACATTCCAGGTAGTATATTTATGTGCATGATAATATTGTAGTTGATCAAAATGAATATCGTGCTGATGTTATCTTTCTCGTAGAGCAACCTAAGAACTTGCTAGACAATACAACCCCCAAAGATGCATTACTGAATCGCGTTGTTAAGGCCCCTGCAAACCTAGTTGTGCTTGAGGGTGACAGCTTTGATGCAATTGGAGATGCTGGAGAACTCGAGTGCTATTTGGTATGCCGGTTTAAATTAGGTGCACATTTTCAAAAGTGGCACAATTTTCAAGTCTTTGATGTATGATCATTTCCTGCAGCTTGCCACCTGTGATGTGTACAGGGATTTTATTTTATTGGATACATGCGATGCAACAGCCATTGATAATTTTTTTACTAATGAAAACAAAACCGGGAAAGGATTGAACAGCAGCTGCAAAGGCCGCAAAAGTGTGCAACATTTTACAAGACAGTCTGGAGGAGTTGGCAAGCCTTCTTCAGCACGAAAGAACCAAGAACCCGATTTGAACCTGTCTCCAAGAATTGATAATGATTTCAGAACAAATGACCATATGCCTGAAAATCATGAAGGCTTGTATGGGGTGGAAGATGTGTTTTCAGAGCCAAAGGATTTCAGTGACTCAGATGAAGATGATGATTTAAATCCATGGAAACCCTTAAATCCCCATGAGCCTGGAAATTTTAAAGATAAGCCATACAGGAGAGGTTGTCTTTTTTAGATTGTAAACATTTTCTTTCTTCTCACTTCCTGTTATTTATTTATTACTACATATTTATTTATTTGTTTGTTTGTTTATTTTATCTCACTCAGTTAACTGCACTCTTTCAAGCAGTGAAAGCTAAAAGAAGTCAAGGTACGGGTTCCAAAAAACATATGCATGTGATCACTCAGTTTCCTCTTGCAAGACCGCATGGAAACATTAGTTTGCACCTTAATGATATATGGGAGAAGTGTTTTGCCACAAAGAAGATGGATGAATCTCAGTCTCCGCTACCGTATGAAAAGGTGTGTTTTACTTGCATTTATAAACCCTGCAATTTTGCCACAAAATGGGCTGGCTTACTAGATTTTGCTGCTGTTTTCAGTTGCGACAATCTCTCTTTCATTGGGAAAACATTGATGGTGATGTCTTTCACAGTACTGAAAACAACACGGATTATGACTTTGATAACACAAATTACTATTCTGGATCACCTGACTTCCACACGCCTGAAACTGCTGAACTGAATGAAGATGAAAATGTGAACACTGATAAGGTTATGCAGCATGGAAGTGATGGTGTTCCTTTTGACCACGAAGGTCATGAAGATCCTAACACTCATCGAACTCTGGAAGATCTTTGCCGTTCCCATTTGGTGAGGACAAAAGAGATTTAATTTGTGCTTAAACACACATAATAAATAAAAGTGCTATTACATTGGAGTAAACATGGAATACTTTAATATTGTCATCTGCCTTTTCCATTAGAATGTTTTTTTTGGTAGAATTGTACCTATTGTAACAGAGCTCACTGTTTCCGTAAAGGACTGCCTTGGTTGAAAGGCAATCAAGTACATTCAGTTCCAAAGGATGCTTGATGAGCATTTTGAATTAGTATCAATCTCTTACATAAACTTGTATAGTGTAGCACATTGTCACTTTGTTGTTTGTTATGTATAGGATTCTCTACTTGCAAACCTTGCTGAAACTGAACGCCAGACTGAAATGGCTGCTAGGGTTTCAACATGGAAGCAGAGGATTGAGCAGAACCTAAATGAACAAGTGTGTGCATTGTCTTCTTTTACTTCTTGTCCCCACTGGATTTTGACTTGTAAATTTGTAATACATATGACACTTTATTTTATATCACAAACCCATGGTGATGTTTTCATGACAGGAATTACATACGCCTTTTGATATTCATGAGTATGGTGATAAGGTTTTAAGTAAGCTGTCTTTGAAAGAAAGCAGTGCAAATGGTGTTTCATTTTCTGATATTGTTAGCGGAGAAGAAAAGCATAATGTTGCGCGGACATTCTCTGCACTACTGCAACTAGTAAGCCCCCTTTTATTTCACGACCTGGATCTGGTTTAGGCATTAAAAACTCAGTTTGGCAAGGCTTGACTGTATGCTAAAATTGCTTATTTAAAGTTGTGGTTTAATTGGAGGAGCTGCTTAGTTATCTTTTTAAAAAGCATTTCAAAATCCATATTTAAGTGAAATAAAAATATAACATCTAAAAATAATGCTAAATACAACTTTTTTTAATGTTAAGTTGCTGAAATTGTAATTCAACAAATCATTTGCCAACTGGCTTACAATGGTATCGGGTGGGAAATCAAAATTAACTACACAACCGGACATAGAAAAAGCCTTCACATAATGCTTCCCTAACCCCCAAAGCTTCCGCTTATTAACTGCCTGTTACTATCTCTGCCTATCCACCGCCAGGTCTATTTTCCTATTTGAGCTTTATTTGCCGCTTCTACAGGCCAAATGCAACTTATGCATTACTTTTTCTATCATTGGTCATAAATTCATCCAGCACAGTGATAGTAGTTAGTGTTTAGCAAAAGTTGGGTAATATAAAGCCAAAACAAAGAAGGATTGGAATTTTGTAATGTGTGGAGACTATTTGCTTCAAACTTGGACTTTTAATGAATGATGGTTCTCATCTTTTTTATTCAACGCATAGGTCAATAATGGGGATGTAGACTTGCAAAGAGGCGGAGCAGAAGGAGAGTCAAGTGTGTACACTGGTGCAAACCCATTTTACGTTCGACTCCTTCAGGGGGGAGTGAAAATGAGGGATAAAGTCAAACTTCACATATCACCAAAAAAGAAAACAAAATCTCCCGTATTGAAAGGGAATCCCAGAGGTGAGAAGAACAAGAGGGGTGGAAAAGAGAAGCGTCCTGATACTTCATCTCCTCCTCCTCGCGGTTCCAACAACTCAAACCGTAGGTTCACTTTGCAGGTGGGCAGAAGGACAAGTAGATGCACTCCTGTTGGTAAGAAGAGAAGAAAGTCCCAATTGTTGGAGCAGCCAGTGGACTTGCATACTGGAATGTCATGTGAATGAACATTACCAGGAACCAGATGTGCTACCAAGACCTCTTCACGTTGTCTATTTCACATCCTGGAGTTTGTTCTGTTATATATTTCAGGTGTATTAATATTTAGGTCACAATTTTCTCAGCTTGCCGATGTATATTGATTCCATCTCCTTAACTTGCTATTAGTTAGTGATTGTACCTAATGAAAGAGGCAGTGTAGCCATTAGTCTGCTAATTTAGTTTATTTCAGATTTATTCCTTTCAGGCTCATCTTGTATTGTAAACTTAACTTCTAATCTGGTTAGTTAATTCAAGTTTGCTGGCTTTTAGTTCCTGATTGCAACCGATCTTTGTCAACTTGCATTTTCCACAGGACACTAACTTATCTAATTGCATTAATGAATCTCGTGATAAAAAGTGTACATATAGCTTATTTTGATTTAGTGATTGAATTTGTTGAATTTGTGTTTAAACACTATTAATTTATTTCCTTCATTTGTAAATTTAAGAGCACACTTATAAAACACATGAATGATAAAATTTTATGATAATATTTTCAAGAAAGAATGTTTTTCTTTCAAATATTGGGTGATAGTTAGAGAAATGGTTCTTAAAGTTGGAGATTTCTAAGCCTTGGCAGAGTCTTCTACCGTTCTACTCAAAGCGTAGAGTATGTAACTATGTACTAAATTGTGGTTTCATTAGCGGGACAATATGGATTGAGTTTCAAAGGATGTTTTGGACTTTGGTCATATTTTTGAAAGAACACTACTACCTTTGTCCCATTTTATGTGTCTTGTTTTGTTTTGACACACTTATTGTAAAGTAATTGAAAAGGTAAAAAGTATGGTTGAAATTTGAATATAATAAAGTGAAATGTTTTGAACCATATATTCTTTTCAAAAAAAAGAGAGTAAATTCCACGTTTTGTCTTACGAGTATCACACCAATTCCACAATTGGTCAACGTCTTAGACTTTGCCTACTGTTGGTAAATGACTATTGTGTTTTTGTACATGGCGTTAATAATTGAATTAGTAATTAAGGTAAACCTATTCAGTGAGAGGCTACAGAATGTTGGGTTTATCACATGGCGTTAATAATTGAATTAGTTTCACTTTTGATCATATACATTTCAGGTTATTTCAATTTTATTGCCTCTAGTTTTAATAATTATACTTTTGGTTGTATTGCTATAGAAAATGACCAAAATAATACTTCCGGCTTTCTATTAGACAAAAATAAGACAAGTTTTCAAATTGGACAAAAAAGAGACTTAATATTACTAACTGGACCGAAATACCCTTAATTACCCAATCCTTCTCCAAGTGGTCTTTCAATTCCGTCGTTTTCAAATCTTCCTTCAGCAGCCCACCTTCATCGCCGCAAGCCATCCGCCCATTGCCGCACCTCCATCGCATCAAGCCAGAGCCAAATAATCATCACCGCAAGCCAGAGCCAAACCACCATCTCCCATCTCCGCAGCGCCTCCATCATCACAATTGTCCAACCGCCGCACCTCTATCACAAAAGTTATTTCTTCTCTTCTCTTGAGATCTATATTTTCTTTTAATAGGTTGTTGAGACGACAATCTTCACCTATCCGGTGGGCCAGTGTTTCAACAGTGTGCCATTTCGGTCCCAAGGAGACGGTAATGGGCTGGCGGCTACGGTTACGGGCCTTGGTGGTGGAATGGCGGTTGAGGGATATGGTTGGGGTTGGGGGTTGAGGCTGAGGTCAAGGTTGGGGGCAGGGCTAGGTTGATGGGGATGGGGCATGGCTTGTGGAGGAGGGTGGCGCGGCTAGGCTGATGGAGAGCAGGGCAGGGCTGGGGTGATGGGCGCAGGTGTAGGGCTGGGGTGATGGGGGCAGGTGTAGGACTGGGTGATGGGGGGCAGGTGTAGGGCTGGGTGATGGGGGCAGGGTAGGTGACGTGCACTTGTCGTGAGTTGCACTCAAAATAAATCGATACTAACACTTATACGTAGTATAGGTGAAGTAGAGTTCGTATCCACAGGGAAAGAAATAATTATCTTTTTAATGAAATCAGTAAATAAAAAGGGGGGGATTTGGATTTGAATGATTTAATTTAATTTAAACACTAAGTTGAACGACTTATATGAGTTTAATTCAAGAATAAAATGGACTTGGCTTTGCTACTTTCCACTTGTTGATATATTTTAGTCGATCCTTGTTATATCTATAACTTATCCCCTCTCGAATACTCAATCGAGGAGTATATCCAATTCATCGAGGGTAGTTATTAACAACGACCGTTCATTAATAACCCTTACTATTAATCAAATATAGAACAACGCCTTATACCGATATATTAATAGCATTTAACCTCTAAAACTCCTTGATGAAATCAATTGAGATTGATAACCTTGACACAACGATTTCGGTTTAACCAACAAAATTAATCCCTCTTAAGTTTATTAACCACGACCGTGCATTAATAAACCGAAGTTACTTACTTGTGAAACCATCAACGATTAACCATGGGTTCGTTGATCGTTTCTAGTAGTAATTAATGTCGGAACGTTAACTAATCGTCACTTAGCAACCCTCCAACATTAATGTAGAATGAGATTAAGGGAAGAATTAATAATCAAGAGGAAAAGTTAAGAAAATAACTCACAACTTTAATAATCAACAAGCTTCAAGAGCAAAACTAAGAAATGGAAGTTTAGCTCCTCATTTGGAGACTAAACATAGCTAGAAAAATTTAAAGAAATTCTATTCTAAATTGAGCTTAAGAGTATATGTGAATTGGTGAATTAATGAGGAGGAAATGGGGTGTATTTATAGGCTTTTTAGGCTTGCAGGGTCATGTACCCGATCGGGCTGAAAAAGCACTCGATCGGGTACTAGGTTTCTTCGCGGAAGCATAAAAATCTGGGACATACCCGATCGGGTATGTCGGCCACCCGATCGGGTATGACTACTCGATCGTGCCAAAATCTCCCCTGCACGTTGCCTTGTTCCCGGATCGATCCGATTTGATTTTTCAGCAACTTACCCGATCGGGTATAGGTAATACTCGACCGGGTACAACACCAAAAATCAGAATCTTCACTTTGTCTTGAAATTTTTACACCTTCCTTCCATTTGTGAAGTTCACCAATGGTCCCTAGAGTGATCTTGGACCTGTTTGAGCTCAAAGTAGACCTATTCTAAACAAATTACAAACATTTTTGCAAACTAAACTATTACACCAAAAGTGTGTAATTTCCAAAGTAACAATTAATAAAAACTACTTAAAAACACAAGCATAGACATGGAAATTACATGAATGTCAACTCCCCCACACTTAATTCATTTACTCGACCTCGAGTAAAACCAAATGTTTAAACAATGTTCATCAAAAGACCATAAGTTTAAAGATAGTAAGAACTAGGAGCTAAGACCACCAAGTAATGTAAATGAGTTTACAAAACAACATTTCCTTGGGTTTAAGGGTCTTCTATGGTCCTCACTTCTTCATCTTTTCCTCTTTTTCTTCTTTTCTTTCTTCAAGAGATGATGTCCTGCAAAAACAAATTTCTCTCATATCTCTCATTTTGCCTAGGAGCCTTTTCAGGTTTTCATCCTAGCATCTCTTTTTGTTTTTCTTCCTTTCCAACTCACTCATTTTTTTATAAGCCTTTGTTGCTTAGATTGCCCGTTTTTGGATTTTCAACCTAACTAGCATTCATTTCTTTTATTTTCCATTTTTTTTGTGTGTACAAAAAGTACAAGAAAATAATGCTTAGTATGAGGTAAAAACAAAAGGGATGTACATACCAAGAGATGAATGTCCCCCCCCCCCCCCCACCCCACACTTGAATCATGGCACTATCCTTAGTGCCCGCCCTCTCCGCCATAATAGCCACCTTGATAACCGCTCCCATGTATATCATCACCGCCTCCCTCTCCCATACTAGTGTCCCTGCCATCGTATCCTCTACTGCCAGAGCTAGAACCACCAAAATTACCCCAATCGGAGGGGTTATACCAAGAAGGTGTCGGTGGTGGTGAAGTCATGGATGAAAATCCGGCTAGGTGGGACATGTAGGAATATGTGGGCCCGTACATCCTCCGGTAGTCTTCTTCGTACCGTTGCATGTCGGCCACTCTTTGTGCCTCTATCCTTTGAAGTGCCGTTTGTTGCTCCGCCCGGAATTCATCAAATTGCCGGTCTCTCTCCCGTCGTTCCTCCCGGTAGTGGCCTATCTCTTCTTGAAGTTGGGCAAATTGCCCTCCCATCTTTGTGTACTCGAGGCCCATGTTTTGAAATCCGGTGAGGAGGGATTGTTGACCCGTCAAGATTTGTTGGAAGAAATCTTGTGGTGGTGGGTTTTGAAGGGGGTCGGGGATGTAATGTTGGTCATGTTCATGTCCCTCTTGGTGCTCGGCTTGGTGAGGTTGATGATCAGGTTGTGGCTCAGCTTGGTGGGCTTGAGGTTGGAGGTGTGGTGGGATGTTGTTGGGGAGGAGGTGGTGTGGGATGATGGCAGGCTCCTTTCTGTACCTAAGTCGAGGTAATTCATCGCATGGAAGAGGAAAGTATTTGATGGGTTCAGGGTACTTCATGTGCCATTTATAGTGTTGGGTTCCATCTTGGTCTTTATGGCTCAAAGAAATCAAGCCCGCATTGGATAACCATCCAATATGCATCAATGAATATTTAGAAATTGGTGCATGATCTACATAACCAAATTTGGAAGCCAAATGCATGATGATCCCCCTAGGACAATGTTCCCCCCTTTCGTGATAGCCTTCTCTAAATGATCCCAAATTAAGTTGCAAATGTTGAACTCAATGGGTTTTCGGAAGAGAGCAAGAGTGAGTATGGCTACATCCCCTATTCGAGTGTGGTGGTTGTTGGGTCGGCCAAGAAAGGAGTTACACATAAACTTAAGGAAAATCCGGAGAAGGGGATGTTGCACGTGACTAATGTATAGTTGGGACGTGCTAAAATCCCGTTCTCCGGTCATTTTGCCCCATAAGTTATATGCATCCATAGTATTGTCCGGGATTTCCCTTTCATGTGGAATTCGGAGCCCGAAATGCTCAGCAAAATCACGTCTCGTTATGGAATATTCAGTGTTCATCAACCGAAATGAGAGTGTATCATCATAAAAGTGGTTCTCATCCTTCTCAAATTTAGCCGAACTCAAAAATTCATAGATGACCCTCTCAACACAATTATATTGCTAATGAAAAATCAAGGCCATATGCAATTCATCAAATAGCTCTCTCATACCATCCAACAAGCCTAGCTTAGTAAGAGCATCATGACATAAAAAGCGAGAGGGGGTGACTTGCCTTTTTAGAGTAGATATGAAGCGCTTGCGTTGATCCCCGGG